ATGGGACGAGGGACTGGGAATCCCAATGTGTGTTGTCTGCCAAGGGGTACGTAAACTCTTATCCATAAATCAATTGCTGGTAACCCTTTGCTGACTTGATTTCTTGACTTTCTCAGGCGGACAAGATTGAGAAGTTAGAGAAAGATCACGGATGGCATGAAGAGCAGTTCGATTTCGTTCTCCAGTTCCTTAGAACGATTCTCCTGAAGCGTAAGGACTTTATTACCCTATGTTTGGCCATTTTAGGCTCTTTTCTGACCTCCAGACAGACGGCGCATCGCTCATCTATACTACCCCTTTCCTTGCAAACTCTCTTCAGGGCCTGATTCATTCTTCTCTGGGCATACACTCTCTTTTGAAGAGAGAATCATTAAAACATAATGTGATCGACCGAGATAAGATCCTGGTGCCAGCCAACTGGGACTCGTGGGGTAAGATCCGAATTATTCGGGAAGGATTTGACATGGAGGGGGTATCAACAGCGTGGTCAATTGAGATCCAGGATCCTCCTGAGTCAATCTATCAATCTACAGAGGACAACCAGCAGAGCGAGAACGGCCTAGCAGACGAAGGCACAAGCGCGGTGACCATGTTCGAACAGACTATCAACGATCCCAAACGAGGTACAGCCAACCCCCACGGCAACACCACCAAGATCGAAATCGAGACCACCGACCTCCAAGATTTCTTCGCAACCCAAGTGGAGAAACTAGAAGAACTCAAAGCTAGGGATGAGAAGGAGCATTCAAACCAGCCAACCCCACAACTGGAGATGTCTCCCATGGCCGACGAGGGCAAAGTCAATGATCACATCGGCCCTGTACAGTTTAACATGGGCGGAATCCAAGTGGACGCCGATGATATGTTGAAAAAGCTTCGGGTAAGCACCCGACCAGCGCGGCGTCATCGCCCTCCCCAACCCAGGACATAGCTAAATACTACCCCAGGACCGCGAGGCTAGCCGAACCCTCAAGAAGGAGAGCCCATATGCAGGCACCGGCGGCAATGACGAGAAAGCCCACAACCAAGCCCTGGCGAACTTCTTTGCTGGCCTCGTCAAGAAGCCTGGCTCTAGTCCCCGTGGCAGCCCCTCGGCTTGATTCATTATTTTCTCACTGTATTTTAGTTCTGTGTGCGTACATAATACAGAAGTCGGAACTCTCGCTTTTGTCGATGGGCTAGGTGGTTTGATATATGGAGATGAAAGACCTGTTGGGAGACCTTTGGCAGTGAAGGGGAGACAGTCGCTCTGTTATTACTCTAGCAGTAGAGGGGGTTCCCATGGCTTTTCGGTAGGTGTTAGATAATGATACCAATATGAAGTCTGTGATTTGTTATTTAAATGTCTTTCCAGCAGTACGAAGGAAACAACAGGCGGATATATATGTGTGCTTACTGTTGGAGTTATACCTGTATGCCAAACTAACAGATTTTTTTTTTGTAGTCTATTTTACTACTATCTGGTACAATACAATCCTCAAACATAGAAAGTCAAGAGAAAAGCCAGAGGAATAGGAATATTCGATTCGAATTTTACTCAGCTCCCTTTCAACACTCACCAGTTCTCCCACACAGCATCAGGCAGAACCTTGCGCATGATAGCCCAGTGCTCGAGCGCACCGCGATCCTGGTACTTGTGCAATCTTCCGACCTCCTTCGCCCACAAAAGAGATCTACCAGCCTTGGGCCAAGAGGCAAAAATGGCAGGGTCCAGTTCGTGCTTGGGAACCAGATAGCTTTCACGAGACCTGCTGCGCAGGAAGTCTGCGGGGACAGGGTCACGGAATTGAATCGGCGTGTTGGAGCTCTTCTTGCAGAACAGAACCATATTAGTGAAGTTGGTATCTTCGCCCTCTCCGGTGGGTTCTTCGCGGAAGATGCGGCAGGATGGGAAGACGGCTCGGATGGTGCGGACGATGAGACCGGTTGGGTAGAGGGTCAAATCACCGGCGTAGTTCTGGGTTTTTTCGTTAGTCTATGGTTAAGTTGGGAGTTTGTTATTTGTTGCGACTCACAATGGCAATGGCACCGTCTTCTTTGAGGAGTGAGTGAAGGCCCGACAGGAACTCGTACGTGAAAAGTTCAGCGGGCTCGGCGCCTCCGGTGAATACATCGTGGACGATGTAATCATACTGGGGTGTATTGGGGGACGACTCTGCCTTCTTGACGAATTTCACGGCGTCTTCGATAACAGGGATGTGGTTGGGCGGAAGGTTGAAATACTGAGTGGCGAACTTGTGCACGACAGGGTCTATTTCGACGATAGTAGTTTCAACGCCGTGTTTGATGAGCGCAGAAGGTGTTGTGCCAATCCCAAGTCCACTGCTTCTTGTTAGTAAACTGCGTGATTGATGCTTTTTCCGTGGTTCTTACATGACCAGCGCCTTGCTGTCCGCGTCAACGCGGGGAATACCATGATCCGGCTCAACCAGACGGACAGCCTCGAGCATGGCGAAGATTGCGTAAATAGGATCTTCCACCTCAGGACGGTAGCCTGGTACTAGCCTGGTCCACTGTCCACCAAGTAGACTGTGATCGCAACGCATAACGCGGAATCCGTCATTCTGATTTTCCAAAACAGAAATGTATCCTGTGTAAGCTTCCTGTCGTGCCAAGAGAGAATAACCTTCGTGTGCAATTGCAGAGTTGACACCACTAATTCCAGCGAAATGGACGTTTGAGGTCACTGAAAAAATGATAGAGGGAATGGCAAGGACTAGCCACTTTGACGGGATGAGCGCGGCGTAAGCGGCCGCTAGGAGCATTTGCATGCCAACTCTGGTGAAAAAGACCGAGGACCCAACAATCCATGAAAGAATAAATTGGGCAATGTGATCGCCAGCCGAATAGAAAATATATGTACCTATCAAAGGCACATGTTCGGCGATCACGTCGCCCTGTGCCTCGAGTCTCAAAGCAGCCTGGATTTGTTTTCCGGCATAGGCGACGGTCAACAGCACCAGAGGATAGTAACCACAAAGTTCAGTGATGACTGGACCTGTGGGGTTGCCAATCTTAGAGCTTTGCTGCTTGATAAAATACTGGAGAGTCGGAACCCAGAATGCCAACACAGGGAGCATGAAACCACCGAGACGGCCCATGCGCTTGAGAATCTTATCCTTGAGTAGCCATCCGATTCCGCCGGAGATGGCGACTCCAAAATTATGGAAGATATGCGCGGGGAAGGATCCATAAGTTGGGGACAAGACAAGCTTCGAAAGGGGCGAGTAGAAGGCAAGTAGGACCAGCAAAACCACGCCAGTAGTGAACCGGCGGGCATCAATGTGCTGCAACATGTCCTGGAGAGACATGGTTTCCAGCTGATGCAGTTCTGGATATAAGGGGAATCAACCAAGATAGAGCATCTGCAAGCTTGTTAGCAATCTGAAACTGTGTCCTTGTCTCCTTTCCCCCCTTATTGCAATAGACATCCAATGAATAATAAAAAAGTACTTTGAATCAGATCCTCGACTTACACGTTTAAACCGGACACATATCAAAATAATCACCAACGAGAGAAAAGTTATTACGGAGATGAAGGCACTTTTGCCGCCGAGCTCCGCGTTCCCAACTTCCTTCTCTCCACCTCCACACTCTGAAACACACCAAAGATGCCACATTTCCCTAAGGATTCCGGTTTTACGGTCAAAGATGCGCCCAGCGCACAAAAAGCTGTCACAGTCAAAAACCGTCGCAAGCGGTATCTGGACTTACACCCAGAATACTTCTCGGCGGGGCTTGAGCTAGCCGGTCCGCCTGCTCTCTTCTCTCCCATTGCCAGTTGATTATTTTACACATTACCTGGCCTGGTTTATAGCTGGTGCCAGCTGGCTTTGCATACAGAAGTAAACAAAATAATAATACAATGCTAATCCTGCTCGACTTCTCCACAGACCCGTTACTATACGATCGCCTCATCCGCCGATTCCAGACAACGCAAGAAAGAGAGGCCGAGGGGCGAGCGAAGGGGTTCTCAGGTGTCCTGGAGACTGACCTCCTGCGGTCTGAAGCCAAGATGGATGCCATCTCACACCCAGACCCCAACGCTATGATGAGCTACACTCGCGGCCCAGATGGCGAAATCCTCGCCGAGGACCGTGATGAAATACCCCCAAATAAAGAAGAAGGCGAGCGGCTCTGGCGGTGGGAGATGGGATTGCGTTTCATGCAGGGCAATGACTCTGATTTCGATTACAAGACTGTTGATCAGAACGACGACTACGATGATCACACAGATGAGCAAGATCAGTACTTCGAGGACGAGGAGCCTGAATGGGTGGTTGACGGCACTCGCGGGGACGACGCTCGCCTAAATCTTCAGGGTGAAACAGGCATTCAGGATTTCTAGGTTCAGAGAAGCTTGTTGTACATGTTCCTGAGATGTGGGCTACAGTGAAGCTTGCTCGCTGGCTCCATGTGATGCTATAAATTATCTCTCATTGTGGTCTATCTGTCACCCCTCGGCTGCTCCTGGAATACCCTGCCCTCGAAAATCCTCAAAAGAAGGACTCGACACTGCTTTCAAGTTCCGTGCCCCATCGATAGCTTCGTGTTCGTTATTGGGACGTGGACGTGAATGTGTTGGCACGATCTAAAAGTGTCTGCGATAGCCGCTGGTTGTCACAATTTGCCATCCCGAGAGACTGCAGGTATTCACACTACGCCAACGTTGAAAACTCTCCGTTGCCGCCTATAGTCTTTTTAGCTGTTGTTTTCTTAGGTTATTCCCCCTTTATTGGTGTTTTAGCTAGATTATAGGTGGTGGACTTAAACGTGAAAAACGAATTTTCCATGTATAACCTTCATGGTTTGTGGCAATGCTCGAGACCAATATGATGAATTTATCTACTCAAGCTCGTAATTTAGCCTTCCCGTGGCCATATGACAATCCTACCCAATGAGCAATGATACTTAAATAAATCAGTATATACCCCAAATACCAGACACTTATTTACCTATAATCTATTCCAAGTCAGGCTTTGGCCTTATATGCTCGCTGTTCATGCAGCGCTTTTGGCCAAAAGTGAAATGGCCTTCTCCCTGAGCTTGAACTTCTGAATCTTTCCACTTGCTGTCTTGGGGAAAGGCTCCAAGGGGCCCAAAAAGAAGACATGCTTCGGAACTACAGGGAAACAAAATATCAGCTCGATTTATAGGGCAATGGTTAGGATGGTCAGAGAGACCAGCTGAAAACGATGGGAAACGATGCAGTAGTCTGGGTTATGACTTACTAAGGTGGTTGCTAAGCTTTTCACGCACCCATTGCTGAATATCCTCAGCAGTGAGTGTCTTTGAGCCATGGTCCCGAGGAACAACGAAAGCAGCCACTGCCTCGCCATATCTCACGTCCGGGACGCCGACTACCGACACATCTGCAACGCCATCGTTGGCTAGCAAACAATTCTCCACCTCTAGGGGGTGTATATTCTCGCCGCCGCGGATGATCAGATCTTTGATCCGTCCAGTGATAGTGATATATCCATCTGGTGACATAGAAGCTTCGTCTCCAGTCTAAGAGCATGATGTCAGAGAAATAAAACAGCTTTACTTTAGATAAAGAATAGAAGATTCGACTCACATGCATCCACACCTTGCCAGTGTTATCTGGAATCATCACCTCCGCTGTCTTTTCTGGATCGGCCCAGTATTCCTTCATTAGCAGATACCCACTCACTGCCAACTCGCCCCGTCTCTCTATAGGCAGAATTTCTTTCTTGTCCACCGGGTCCACAATTTTTGCCTCGACATGTGGCATGAGCTTTCCGACAGAGTAGATCCGCTTGTCGATGGGATCGTCTGTCGTTGTCATAGCCGAGACGGGGCTTGTTTCCGTCATTCCATAACAAATTGTCAATTCAGTCAGATTCAGCACCTTGTGCATTTTTTTCATTATCTCAGACGGAATACTGCTTCCAGCAGCGATGCCCGTGCGAAGGTGCTGGAAACCTTCACTTGAGATTTCTCCCGTCTCGATCATGCTCAGCTCTTCGAGGAACATTGTCGGTACACCGTGCAGCGCGGTACATTTCTCTTCTTGAACTGCTTCTAGAGCAGCACGAGCATTGAAGGACTCACTGGGGAAGACGATGGCCGAGCCGTGGGTTGCTGTCGCCATATAGCCTAATATACCGCCGAAGCAATGAAACAGCGGCGGCGGGCAACAGACAATATCATTCGGCGTGAGGAGCATGCGATCGCCGATCTGAGAGCCGTTGTTAAGGATAGAGCGATGGGTGAGGCATGCTGCCTTCGGCATTGATGTGGTTCCTGACGTGAACTGGATATTCACAGTTTCATCCGGCGAGAGATCCCGAGGAGGAAGCGGGTAGCCGTCTGCAGTAAGCTGGGACATAATGGACGCATATGGTGTCAAGCTTTGATAGGAAGATATATCCACGCGACCTTCGGAGTTGTCGACCATAATGATATTCTTCAGAGAAGGGACCAATGCGGACTCCAAGTTTGACTTATGGAGGTCTTCAACAAGGTCATCGAGCAAGGGAACATTGCTGCGTGGTTTTTTCCGGGGCAAATTGGACTCTGTGCTGATTAAAAGATGACTGGATTGTAGGTGGCCCAGGGCTGCAATCACTTGTGCAGTATTGAAAGACGGATTGAGCGGAACCTATGAGATTATTAGACACGATGTCGCCTACCACGATGAGCAAGCTAACTTACCAAAACGGCACCAAGTTTGAATAACGCGTATGTTGCCTGTTCGCTAATATTAGTTTTCTTCTTTCCTTCTTAAATGTTCCCGCAGACGCCCAACGTACCACAGCGTATTCCATCGAGTTCCCAAGCATGACTCCAACCCGCTCGCCCTTCCCAACACCCACTGATCCCAGTCCCCGAGCGAGAGCATTACTTCTTGCGTCTAAAGAGACATATGTTGCTCGATCATTCTGGTGTCTTGAGATAACACTATACAATACAGTTAGTATCTTGAGTCTTAATTTGCCAATCTTGCGTCACGATTCTCACGCTATCCTGTCTCCGCATTCCGCGACAATCTTGGCGAAATGATCCCCCACAGTAGACTCAATCAAGGGCGGCTATATCCAGCGCAAAGTCAGATAAATATCGCCTCACATTAATCGTGACATTTCCGATTTGTTCTTGGACAGAGAATACTCACACCTGATGGCCCCCGCGCATAGCTCTCTGTTAGGAGCCCTCTCTTGACCAAGGATGCTTGCCGAAGGACTCTGTTTCCTCCAAACACGGGCTTCCGACAGGAGGTACGGCTTCTCAGGCCAAGCCCCGTGAGAATTCCGCTGTAGCTCATGTTCTTATTTCAATGCTAGCTTGATCAAGGTCTCATGGCTCTATGTGAGGGCTGCGATTAACTGGAACAAATAAGGTACCGCAACAAGTGGCAGTCTAAGGGTTCAAAACCGAGGTGTTTGGAACAGTAGGGATTGAAGAGAACAAGGGCGGAGTAGGTCCGCGGAAGTATAGCTTTCCCCGCACGCCCAAATTGCGGGGATGAGGAACTACATCATGCAATCCTATCACCTTTGAACTAGTAAACACTACAATGTTTCCTACATTATCATGGCGTCAAACTGAAATAAAATCAATGGTCTATTAAATGCTTTGTTATAAAAATCTGTTCTCAACTCCAAAATGCATAACGCATAACCTATCAGGGCATTAGCCTATTCCTACCTAGGTGGCCACCTACTCAGTCCCAGAACCATCACAGTACCCGCATAGGCAGTCATAGTCAAGATAACTCCAGTACCTATCACCATACCCAACGGTGACCTCTTCAAATGGCAGAATATCACGAATGGCCTCAACTGTGCACACAACTCGGTCTCCAATGGTACGAGCCATGAACTGCGTTGAGGGCCGGCACGAGTGACTGATAAAACGGGTCCAGTTGCCAAACTGGTGGGGGCAAATTGTACACAAATTGCGAACTGTAGCAGTAGTTGTATTAGGTTTGTCATCGTTTTGCGTCAGAGGATAGACCTTCTCTACGATATCAGGAAGGAGCTCACCCATGAATATATCGAGAATATCACCACGCCGGAATCTCGTCAGCGATCGAATACCAGTACCAGTCCCGCGGTATTCTCTCAGCTCAACCAGTTCTCCTGCCCGACTTTCCAAGCGGCAATCACAAGAAACAAGGCTGCCACATAGAACACATTCGTGTCCAACGTTGGTCGGAGTGCCATTGGGCTTCTGGCGAAGCGTCGGGTCCTGTTTCCGACCATTCCACATCTTGGGATCATAGATACTCTCGTTAATGTGCTTCTGTAACTGACCGTTGTAGGTAGGCTCCTTCAGCTTACCGTCGAGCGTGATGACTGTGTGGTGAGGGTGGTCGATTTTCCAGTTCATGTATGTCTCGAGTTCGGGTTTCATATCTGGCAGGCCTGGAATGGGGTAATTCTGATGGATCCAGAGAATGTTACGCCACTTCAGGGTACGGCTGTGCGCGTAAATTTCAATACTCAGGGAGTTTTCGTGAATCTTCTGGAGCAGGCAGCCCCAGGCTCTATCGTCGGCTTCTTTGATACCTCGCCGGAATGATTCGGCATGAGAACAGATAGCAAACATCTTCCATCCGAGTGCAGTAACGAACTCTAAGAATCTGCTGTTAGGTGTGACGGGTTGGAGCTCACCATGTTCCGCCTTGAAGGATTTCACGCAGGACATGTAGTCGCCGATTTCCCGCTCCACAAATCTTTCCGTAAAGGCACGCAGGTTGGAGAACGTCTCTGGACAACCATAAACTTTCTCTCCCGCAAGTCTCTCAAGCTCACAGTAGGCGTTGATGTCGTGGTACACGGCTAGGGTGATATCAGTAGCTTCCTTATTTGCCGTCTGGTTCAAGGCCTCTTCGGAGCCCCAGGGCGGGAAAAGCTTGTCGAGATCGACAGGAGGATGGGGGGCTTTGGCGATCTTCTTGTTGACCTTCATGCTGGCAGTCTTCTTGTTGGTAGTCTTGTTTGCCTTGTTGCGTGTCGGGGCCATTGTGATGGCTATAAAATATAATAGGATAAAAGGGTTTGTAAAGTTAGAGGTGAAGTGCTGTATGTTGTATGGCGTGTAGTTTAGTATGTATGATGAATGATTTTCTGGCACGGAAGAGAAGGGTCTTTATACTCGCTCGCCTCGACTCTCATACAGCCTAAGTTCTATTGTATTATTATACACTGCTTTGTTTCAACCATAAATAGTATTGTGCTGCAAAGGTCCAGGGTAGGCTATTCAAACACCTGAAAGAGACAATGAGTTCTTGAAATATGTTTGAATCCATTGTGAACGTGAACTAGGCCAACGGATGAGCCTTGTTAAAGTCGGAATAGGCTATAAAAATTGGGAGAAATGGCTGAGAATGACCAAACCTGTATATTTCAGGCTCAAAGAAATGAAGAACCAAGGTAGGGGTAGCATAAGCGAAAGCACAAAGAGACGTACAAAGAGAAGTACATACAGACGTAAATAGCGGAATGACGCTTGGCGTCATGTGGTGGGGAAGCTCCGTTGCGACACTTTGTCTTTCTCTTTCTCTTTCCCAACTCTTCTGCCTTCATTTACTTTGTTCTATTTGCTTTTATTATTGGCATGCTTGTACATTGATATCTTGATTTCCGGTTTCAGCGCAGAACTAGACAACATGGCTTCAGAGCCGACCGAGGAAGCTATCACCAGCTTTGTCAGCTTCACAAGCACGACACGCGAGCAAGCCATCGCTTTCTTGAAGGTAGGAGACTGCCACCGGGCTGATAAACCGTATCGCAACTAATTTTGTTTCATACAGGGAAACAATCTCGACTCACAGAAAGCGATCAACGCGTACTTCGAAGATCCGACAGGGTCTCAGCTAAAGGTAAATTTGGCGGCGCTCAGCAACTCTTGACTATGATCTGACATCCCAAAGCCGATGACTAGTTACTGGGATGACAACAGAGGCTCTTGTAAGATCACCCCCCCCCCCCTATGTGAATTCGGTTTGGGAATTAACGTACCCCGCCCCAGCATGGGATTTTGCCCAACAAGACAATGCGCCACCAATGCCAGCGACAGCACCGCCCTCTCGTCCTCCTTCCCGAACAGACATACGTGACCCGGAACAAAATACTGGATATCAAGATTCTGTCGCGATCACCCCGAAAGGTATCACGGTCTTGATATTTCAACTGCAAGAGGTATGCTAATTTGTGGTTATTTAACCATGTAGAAGGTTCCGGACAAGGTCTCAGTTTGGCGGAACGCGAAGAAAAGGAATTGCAGCAGGCAGTTGCCATGTCGTTGAATTCGGACATAGGACAGCAGGAAACCGGGGTAACATTGCAAAAACAGCCGCAATTCAACAAAGCAACCCGGGATCACTACGAAGAAGGTGCTTGGGCGATGACCCTATTCAATACCTCCTCCGAAGAAGTCATGATTAGCCCAGACCCAGAAGACCGCAAAAGAGTGGAGGGCGAGCCTGCGTTCATCCGCCCCAACCCTAACGGCATTTACCTAGGAGGACTCTTGACAATTCTCCATAGTATTCCCCTCGCGCGAGAAGCGTTACTCTTGCGGAACAAACCGCTGTTTGACTACGGCCATGAGTCGCAGTGGTGGAACGGACAACCCATTAATCTGCCAAAGATTGTCACGGTGAACGATGGCAAGACCAGGGATAGCGACTGGGATGATATCATTCATGAGACCCAGCGACTGATGGCTTTTATGGATTCCACGAAACGTGCTTTTGGCAGCAGCGACAGCTTAGCAAAGATCAAGAGCATGTCATCCTTATCGGCAGATTCGGAGGAGATCGTCACCAGGTTTTTGGAGGCATGGCATGGTGCAGCCATTCAGGCAGATCCTGAAAATCCACTGGCAACCATATTCACGTCACATGCATACAAGAAAGAACTTTTCGACGAGTTTTCTGAGCCCGATAGCAGGGAGCTCTTCACTTTTGAGCCTCCTGTTGAGCAGGACAATGACCAAACGCTCTATGACATTTTGGATTCGGCTTTATGGTCTGACAGACCGGGGAATGAGCTTGATGACGCATGGCTTGAACACTTAGCAGATGTGCTCGTCATTAGACTCGATGCTCTTCAAAAACCAAACCCTGTGGGTGTGGGTATTCATTCTGTGTTCTATCCAGATCGGTATCTTAGCAGCTGCCGAGACTTCGCTCGTGAATTCCGTGCGAAACGACAGCAGATACAGGGATATGTGTTCAAACTCGAACAACTCATACATCGCTATACCATCCCACTGGATCCCGTGGGCAGTTCGACGATCACGGAACTCCTCGAGCAAGCTGCCCAGGCGGTGCCAGTGGTTGCGCCGGAGCAAGTGAGGGATTCTGATCAGTCTAGCTCGGGGGTGGCAGGTCCGGAGACGATGCGGGTCGCAGAGGAATTGAGAGAAATTGCCACAACCATAGAATCCAAGCTCAAAGGTAAAGACAGCCGTTGAAACCATACTTATATTATTGGCTAACAATCCGAGCGTAGAGCTGGAACTTAGAAAGCAGAATGCCATGGAGTCTCTCCGTGAGATATCAAAGACACTTACCGAGCCACCTAAATCACCTTCCGAGCCCCCTACCCACAGGTACACGCTACGAGGCGTATGCACTGAACCACATGTGACCTACTTTTTATCGAATTCCAAAACGATTTCCCCGGGACACTTGATGGACATGGAATCGGACACCGAAAACAGCAATGATTACCACTGGTGGCGTATCAGCTTCTCAGCGGAAGATGGAAAAACTCGACAAGCCGAGAAACGAAAAGTCCAAGACAAAACTGCAGCCACACAGGATAGCGAGGTTGTTGGCTACAATATTCGGAAAGTTCAAGAAACAGAAGTCCTCCAAGCCGCTCGTGAAGAGTCGAGTTCTGTCTTACTCGTTTATGCGAGCGAGTGTGCAGTGAATGCACAAGTGGACCCTGCACCGTCACAGCTTCAGGTAGGACGCACAGTCGTTCTCGGATCGTTCTATAGTATTAGGCTAACCAACAGCAGGGCTTCGTGAACAGAGATAATGATGCTTTTGCGGACGAATTCGAGAATACCCCTACCATAATCTTTAGTGACCAGGAAGATTCCTGGGCAGAGCCGAAAAACACGGAAACTCAGCACAAAGAACAGCAGCCCGAAATGTCAGAGAAGGCCACACAGGTGAATGTCTTTGACTATGAGGTTTCCGGGTTCGACGACGAACCAAAGCCCAGCCAAGAGATGCAGGAGAAGGGTGGAGCGAGTCTCTTGAGCCATCGTGCATCCGCAACTAACTCCGCGGCACCCATTGCAGCGAAAGAGGTTTCAGGGTGGAATAATGCCGATGATGAGGACATGGCACGTCATCTTGAGCATGTGAACTAGCATTGAATGAAGCATGCGGGGAAGCCTATGAATAATGATTGAATGATGAATACGTATGTAGATACTGTAAAGCAATGTCTAGCTTTGGGCATATGCCAAATGATTAACTAGCAATGGACCCTTGATTCCCAAGTGTCGATCTAGTATGTAGAAACCTTTGAACCTCCTGAGGTCTATGTGCACTTTTTGTATTGTCCCCACATTTTGCCATGTTTGCACCCTCATCAAGCTCCTGACACCCTTTCTCAGTCAATTCCCCTCGCAATTACCCTAATTGATCTTTAAATTCCACAAACCATGGCCCTCGAAAGCGATGCAGTGGCCGGAGCCACCATAGAACTTCTCGAGGCGCGCCTACGCCGTCTCACTTACCTCCTCACCGGCGTCACAGACTGGACCGGCGTACCTGCCACGCCCGAAAAGCCCGCATCTCTCGACGAGACAGTCTCTCGCCGACTCGCACGGCTAGAATCGGAATTAGAACGGCTTAGTCGAGGCGCCCCAGCCGTACGGGATATTCTACAACTCCGTATGTAACCAATGTTGACGTTATTTACACGCGCATTACCACCACAACACGTTCCCTCATCTCCTACCGATTGCTATCTGAATTTCTACCCCTGATATATACATACTGGACTATCAACTATTGACTCCAAACCAACCCATTTAACATAATACTAATACAAACCCAATCAGACGACCGCAACCCAGATCTCTTCCAAACAATATCACCCCACCAAATCCCCGAAGGCCTCACAACCCAAACCCTAGCCTCAATAGTCCTCTCCTACGCCACCGCCTTTCCCGAAACCGCCTCGCGCCTTACATCACTAAACGACCTCCCCGTGCCGGACGCGCAGAGCTCCGCAGCACTAATAAACCTACAGCCACAGCTAGACCGGCTCGCGCAGACGCAGAGCGAGCAGGCGGCTGAGATCTCAGAGCTGCGAGTGCGCACGGCGCGCGTGCTGCAGCGCTGGTATGACGTTGGGCTTGTTGGGAGTGGGGAGTGCTGGGCTGAGTGGGAGGGGAGACTTGAGGATGTTGAGAGGGAGATTAGGAGGGGGGAGGTTGTTCGGCAGGGCAGAGAGGAGGCTTAGAGGGGAGACTTGCCAAAATGGCTTGTTTCTGGTGGTATTATGAAGAGGGACCGGAGGGGTGTGATGCCTCATGCTGTTGCTGTTGCTATTGCTTTTATTTTTGCTATGATACCTCTGATTTGGGCGCACGGTGTCTTCATCTTAAACAGCGCAGATGGGATATACCCAAGTTTAGCATACATATGGGAGGATTTGATCTACAAAATACCTACGTAAATGCCATCAAATCCAAGTTTACGATACGAGAGACCATCATATCCAGCTCGTTCAAGCCGGGAATTTGATACGTTCCAATATGGCGGAAGCAAAGCTAACCCCCGGGCTCTTCCTAGAGTAGGTTGTAGCTAGCTCGGATCTATTCACGGATGATGGAAATATCTATATACGTAATATTCTCATTCCATGGATTCCTTGGAAAGTTTAAAGTCAGTTGGAATGCGCTAATATACCCCAGATGCTTCGCCCCCGCACACTATGGTTGGCAATGTAGAAAGCGATACACATAGTAACTACTCAACTCCCAACTTGTTAAGATTGGGGTTGAGTTGTGTATGAATTGATACCTATGGTGCTGAGTGCTAGTTAACATGAATACGTCACCAGCGCTGGAGTAAATGAGCGATGCCATACATGTACAAATCCAGCAAAATGAGCATATATTCATAGAAGCATAACGCGCCAAAAACGTCACCTACATAGGGCTGTGGCGCAGCCCCAAATTGGTAATAAATTTTGTATTTTGAGACATCAAGAACCAAAACCCAGAACGTATTTCACTACCGAGCTGGCCACCCCAAAACACCATAGTAAATTCGATAAATTACAACTTGAATATCCTAACAACGGTAGTCTATAGGGACTTTTACTTCTAAGTTGATACTATTTAGGTAATATATAGCGTCTTTATAGAATTTCAAGAGTTTATATAACTTATTGAATGTATATATTTCTAGATTTTGGCAACGTAATTATCAGTAATTTTTGAAATAACGATAATATAGCATCCTAATTTCTTTGAAATTGATCTAGAGTACTAATAAGCCTTATCAATAGCTATCAATAAACAAGGAAATAAAATTAATATATGGTTGTTGAGATATAAGTGTAGAATATATCGCATTTACTGTGGTGTTTTAGGGTGGCCAGCTCGGTAGTGAAATACGTTAGTTAGCATAGCCCTTGCTTAACTGAGACATGTACCTGGGGCACAAAGCGGAGGTGACGAAAGACATTACCGGATATTTATAGATTCGAACGTTTACGATCGAGTTCATTTGTATTGTTTGGTGATAAAATAGAAAAGGAATAAAGTAATTAAACAGTTAGGATTATTGGCATTTATCTTTTAAGATTATATAAGATCTACTGTAATTTCCATTGAAATTCCTTAATTTCCTTAATTTCCAAAAAAGAATCGAGACCGTCGATTTCCAGGGGGGGGCCGGACTCCACGTATCTGCCACTTTTCCTCCTTTTCCATTATCTTCTCCTCTCTCTTCTCTTTCAACTTTCAATCTTATCCACTCTTTTTCTTTCTTTTTTTAACTGATTCTATCTCTTATTCCCTTTTCCCCCAGCCTGGTGCTGCTTTTGCCTCTCTGTAAGGAGATTCTTTCTTTTGACTCCCAACCTCTTCACCCCCACGAATTGTCTCTGAACCCACTTCGGTTTTAGCAAGGTACTTTAATCCTACATCTTATAATCTTTCGCTTTCCTCTTTATATCTGTCGCGTAATTATGGCGCATTTCATGCACAACTGTCGCTCTCACACTAACTAACCACAGTCACTCCTTCCCGTCCGCCTCGTTCAGGACCCAACAATCAACAAACAACTCTTATATACAACCACATCGCTCATCGCCCTTTTCTTTTTTTCCCTACCATTTTCATATCAATTCTATTCGACAGCCTAACCCAATACATCCGACAAAAATGGCTAAATTCAGGCCTAGCAACATCCTAGGCGATCCATTCGCGCTCATGACCGTCTCGATTTCAATTGTTCGTTCGACTTTCTCCTCCGTGACCCGACATCAACTAACATACAATTCTAGCTGGCATGGCTCATTGCTTTCATCTCATCTATCATTGCCGATATCCAAACCGAATATCCCAATTACTCATGGTGGGCCATCTCATACATGTTTTGTGTCATTGTGGGCCTCATCACGACCTTTGGCACTGACACGGGCCACGTTTATGGCGTCGCGGTATGATACCTCTTCAATGCAGGAATATTACGAAGCTCTAATGCTGACAATATTTCCAGATCGTCGGTTACCTTGCCTGTGGCCTCGTCCTAGCATCCACGAGCGCAAACAACCTGATCTACGGAAAACAAGCCTCTATGCAAGCCGCCGGCTCAGGCTTCATCCTCCTTTCCATGGTCATCATCATCTGGATCTTCTACTTCGGCTCCACACCCCAGGCCACCCACCGCGGCTTCATCGACTCCTTCGCCCTGAACAAGGAACAGCCGGCCGAGCCCTCCTACCGCGGCAGTCGCCCCATGTCGAGCGCATTCGGCGCCCGTCCAGATACCATGGCAACCAACAACACCCCGCAGATGTACACCTCTGCTCAACTAGGCGGCTTCGAGACCTCGTCCCCCGTCTCTGGATACCCCGGTGGCGCGCCCGGCACCGAACGATCATCCTCTGCGCCTCGCTTCGGTACCCCGAACCCCACAACCCAGGGTAACGGCGAGCAAGAAGTGGGTGAAGTGCCCCAGCCAACAGAATATCCCTACCGGGCCAAGGCGATCTATTCATATGACGCCAACCCGGAAGACGCCAATGAAATCAGTTTCGCCAAGCACGAGATCTTGGAAGTATCCGATGTGAGCGGCCGATGGTGGCAGGCTCGGAAGCAAAATGGAGATACTGGCATTGCGCCCTCGAACTATTTGATCCTTCTGTGATCTTTGGTCCGTATGCATGATGTCTTTTTGTTTCTTTTTGTCCGAGTTTCTTGTCATTTTTCCCGTCGCAAAATCTGTTTCCCTTCCCCTTGATACCCTTCGGATCCAACCTCGATGTGTGTGTATTTTTTTGGTTCCTTTAACGTGATGTCTTGATGGCCTCCTTTTCTGTGTTGTATGTCTTTCCTCTTCTTGGTATCTTTTTTTTTTTTTGTGATTTGGGGTTTATTTTGTTTTTACTCTAGCGGGTGGTTATCCCGCGTCTGTCCTTTATGCTCCTTCATGGTTGAGGTGCTATTCTCCATGGTCATGTTGGAATCGAGTTTAGAATTGCGGTCTGTTGATCTTGAAAGACTTTTCTACATGAAAAAAAGATAAACATGTGAGATGGTATCTATATGTTAGGATAGCGATTTCTTGACTTTAGAAGAGTGCAATTCACTACGTTGTGCTTTCTAGGGCTATATGGATGTACGTATGGGTCTAGGTAATTTGTCGAATCCACTTCCAAGGTTGGACACTGCGTGGGGCCTTCCACGTTCTAGAACACCCTTTTCTAGGCCTCACCCATTATGATCTATAATAGCCCTGTTTAATCTCTCTATACGGAGTAAGGCATGAGATATGTCAAATCAAAGCGGGGGTGGTGGGGAAGAGGTGGATATGGATATCCCGAAGGGGGGTGTAATGAACACCTTGGGAAGTGGAAGTAAAATGGCATTTTCCCTATCCACTATTTCACTGTAAGGAGGGATCGTCCTATATAACAGAATTGAGATAGCTCGATTTAGATGATCAATCAATCTTGATCAACACTTTAGCAAAGTGTTTCTTTTCCTTGAGGCGCCTGTATGCGCTCTTTGCCTCAGCCAACTCGAACACCACATCATCAACCGCCGGCACAATCTCGTGCTCATCAATGAAGCGAACTAATTCCCGAAATTGGTTGCGACTGGCAGCCAGAATACCACGAACAATGCACGTATGCAGCAGAGCGGCAAACATAGGCACAGCGTCGACGCTGGACTCTCCAACTTGACCAACGACTAGAACAACTCCATCCACCCGCACCGCCGCCAGAGAATTAGGAAGTGTTTCATTGCCACCAACATCGATGACAAAATCCACGCCTCTTCCACCAGGAGTCAAGCCTCGGGCTTCCTCGCCCCAGCTCTTCGGATTGGCCAGGTAATTGATAACATGCGTGGCACCCAACGTCTTTAGACGAGCAACTTTCTCCTCGGACGACGTAGTCGCAATCACAGTCGCACCCACTGCGACAGCGAGCTGCAGAGCTGCAATACTAACCCCGCCGGTACCCTGAACAAGCACCCACGAGTCCGGTCCGGCTTCCCGGCCCTTTAAACCAAACAGAGCATTCCATGCGGTAGTCCAGGTGCAAGTCAAGGTAGCGGCAGGAAGCCAGTCGAGAGACTTGGGTGCGTGGACAAGACCCGCGTCAGAGAAAACACCATGGGATCGAAGCGTGCCATCAGATCCTTGACCGAGGCAGGCTGCAGCATCGGCAATGCTCGCGAGTGCATCGTCTCCGCGAGATTCAACGAATTTAGCGGAGAGGTGCGTGAGTACGCGATCGCCTAGATGGAAATCATGGACAGATGACCCCACCCCTTCGACTATGCCAGCGCCGTCACAGCCTGGAATCACTGGTGGCGTGATCGGTCCATTGATGCCCTAAACAGATGTTAGGTTATATAAACATGGCATTTTGGGATGCAAGCATACATACCATAGGACCTGCGATGACTAGGTCGCGATAGTTCAAACTCGCTGCATGCATGCGAACGAGAACATCGTGGGAACCCAATTCGTGAGGTGATGGTATCTTAACGTCCTGTTGGTACTCCAGGGAGGTCTCGAAGCCTTCTTGGCTTGTTAAAACCCATTGTCTGGCCATCTTTGCACTCGTAGAGGTAGTATTGGGGAAATGAAGGGAATTGTAGTGGTGATGGAAGAAGATATCGAAGTCTGAGAGGATCAAGGACATTATTTAAGTATTTCTGGAAGAACAAGAAGGTTCTTGTTTGATTTCAAACAACTTTCGATCTGATTTTCCTAATTGCAATCTGATTTTCCCAATTAGGAAAATCAGATTTGAGTGGCGCTTTAGGGTGATTGGCTGCGGAGGCATTCGGTCCATTTACCGACAACACAGCATAAGCTCCCAAGGACCAAATTCTTGTGATTGTATCAGAGGTAAACGAGGGCAAATGCATTTCCTGGTCGAGCATACTTTGACATAAATTCTTCAATCCTCCAGCTCGTTAGCGACGTAGTGTAATTCATGCCAGAGAGCTTTGAATCGCTCCATAAGTCTGGAATTGTTATTATTATACTTGTTTTGCAGGAGGCTGAGTGGTCTGTTCCAACCACGCAACTGCATCGCTCGCACTTCCCGGGCCAACCGGTCAACAAACCATGCCCTCGGGGGCGAGCCCTCGTCGGCGGCAATGGCTCCAATCATCAGCGGAAAAGAAGTCAAATTCATGTAGGAGCAACCCTTGATCGGGAATCGACGTATCGTTTCTTTCAACTCCCCCGCAAGAAGGGTCAAGTAAGCTCCCGACTTCAAGGGCCAGAGGAGACAGAGAACCAGTTCGATCGCTCGCGCGGTGGCCTGGACATATACATCGTCAATGGCTCGGAGAGCGCGTGCTTCGTAGTATAGCTGAGCCAATGGCTCCTCAATCTCTCGTGCCACCAAAGTCGCATCAAATTGGTGCTGATGGTGGGAATCGATCATTTTCTGTAGCTGGATCACGCTATCACAGACCCCTTTTATTCTAGAAATCCTCTGATCCTCGTAATCGACCAAAGCTTCGAGAATGCGCTCATGATATAGTCGTGGGAAATTGAAGATGGCGTTGACGGAATCCCTATAGAACATGGTCAGCCGTGGGTGTCATTCCAAGGACCAAGAGTGCATGTAACTGACTGGATAACCAGGTCTGTCATCCATGATGGCGGCGGAGTCATCGCACGAGATTTTCTATCTTTGATCATATGCGCAAGACCAATGACATGAACATTCCAGGCCACATCATCCTGTTCTAGAGTCGCCCCGAATGCTAAAGTGGTTACTGCGCCGAGGACACCGTCCGTCCGAGTCCCCGTCGATGTGATTCGCTGCTTGATGAGATGGACCGCTGCATATGAATGCCGACATGCTTTTAATTGCCATGCATTATCCGGTGACCAGTGCCGTACCGCTACCGCCAGTGACGCTTCGGTTAGCACCGGGTCCGAGGCAATAAGATTAAACCACGCTGCTTCACTTGCACTGCCCGGAGAGTGCCTGCCTTCTAGAAAGACTAGTTCTTGGAGCCTATGGACTGTCGACCGTAAGCTAATGTTCTATAGCTCTTGATAATTGATACTTACAAGTTGTTGCATCAGGAGCTGACTCGGAGCTAGTAGATTTAAGCGGCAATGATGTAAGGAGCTGGTTATTCTTAGGCTTTTCGCTCTCTTTCAACTGCTGTGATTGATCCTTTCTCTGTTCTTTTTGTTCCGATCCAGTTGGATTAGCATGTTGGCGGCGTTTGGCAAAGTTGGTTTTTGTGATATGTGCCCTCATTCGCTTCGCAGCCGGCGGGGAAAGACTGGAGCCTGTTGCGTTCAAGAAGATAAAGGCTGGTTGCTCCATTTCTGACTTCGGGATGGTGAAAGAGGGAGTGCACGCCCTCAGATGGGCGGCAGGCGGGGCGGGAGCCACATGTGGTATGTGCGCCGGAGAATTGATGAACAATAGAATGGCACATAGCCCTGGAGGGTATTGTATCTAATATTCGTACAGTTTTAGTCTATCAAAGGTGATATATAGAAAATCCTCTTGAACAGAATATGTTTTTTTACCGCCTTCGTATACACCTAAAAAGAGCATCCAAAAAGAGCATCCAAAAAGAGCATCTAAAAGACCAATAAAAAGACATGACAAGGCCGCATAAGCGGCCGACTATTCTTGTAAGTGATGTATTAAATCCATATTTCCCTGCTCAGCTTAGGTTGCGTGCAATCAACTAGAGACAAAATGCAAATGCAATGCAGAAAAAGAACAATGCTGTCTATTACCGCCCCAAACGCCGTATCTAACCCTCATTCTGCATCTATTAACCCATCTAGTCTTAGTTCATAAGTCTAGGTCTCCCCCCTCTTCCAATAATCAGCAAATTTCATAGGCTTGTTCTACTGTAGCCCAAACTCTGCAGTTCTTGTTCGACCCAAAGCGGGGATATTTATACCTAGCAAATGAGCCTGTCTACTGAAAATCAGTATCGATATCTCTAGTAACCACATGCTCTTTCCTCTCCTGCTTCTTCTCTCTATCTTTCTAGGTAGATTGAATTATCCTACTCGATCCCGGCAGACCAAGTAGGAAAAATGTTCCCCTCCCCCATAGGCCAATGCACTAATCGCGAAGATCCATCGACTAGACCAGCCAAATCCTGCGTCAAACGTCAAGACTCCACCGCTGCGTTGCATTCTCCCAAGCTTTCTCTTTCCTCCTTGTCATCTCTTAGACTGGTTTTGGTTTATCCTGCATCGTACTTATTACTGTGCGTTCTGCATGTTCATTTCCACCAACGCATAGCAGGGCTTTAAAACTTCACTCACATCTCGATACTCGCCTGCATCGTCTTGTATTTGTCGCTGAGCCGTGACTGGCTCGAGTGGAGGATCAACGCTCATCCGCTGCGCTACTGTTTGCATAAGAAGGGAACTGGATCCTCTCACTGATTCGCAACCGTAGTCTCCAATCTCCGATTATATTTCCGCTATTTCGCTAGCTAGATCTTGGTTTTTTTTTTTTTTGGGTTGGCTGGATAAACCTCTATCATACACATGATTCAACAATGTCCTCAGAAGACAATATCACCCTGGCATCGAACGTCCTCGGCACCATCGGGACAGTCCTCTGGTGTATACAGCTCATACCACAGATATGGTATAACTGGCGCCGTAAAAATACAGAGGGGCTTCCCGCAGCGATGATGTTTCTCTGGGCAAGCTGTGAGTTTTTCTCTTTTTCTTCATTTCGTGGTGTTTGAGGCCTGCGGTTATCTTTCGAGTCTCTTGATAAGAAGAGGATATTCACCCAAAAGAGGAAGGAGGAAGGAGGAAAAAGAAAAGAAAGCCCTAAGATTGAAATTGGGGTTGCTTACAATTGTGATCCATGCAGGCTCAGTTCCAATGGGCGCATATCTGATTCTGCAGGTGAGTTGAACATTAATGAGCGGACTTCTTGCCTAACCTCTTTGATCTTTCGTTCTTTTGCATCTGTCACCGCTGACCGCTATCTTTATGGTTCTTTCTATAGGAAGTCAATATCCCCTTGCAGATTCAGCCTCAGATATTCGGGTTCTTTTCTCTTGTTGGTTGGGGTCAGGTTCTTTATTATAACCAGTGAGTTGAACTTTGTTCCTTTTCCTCAGGTATAACTGAGTGTACGAATTTATTTTGCTCGCATTGCTGATCTTTCTTCTTCAATTTGAATAGTAAGTATAGCAAGACCAAGGCTGTCCTGGTATGCTTGGGCACGGTTGTTTTATTTGGAGGATTAGAGGCTCTTCTCATCCTGACATTGAGGGTATGATCCATTTTTCTTTCATTGTTTTCCACAAATAAAAGATTTAATCGAACCTGGCAGATACCATATAATAACGGTGTGACCTGGCCCGACATCGTGGTTGGGGTTATAGCCGCCATTCTCCTCGCTGCAGGACTGCTGCCGCCTTATTTTGAATTATGGAAGAGAGACGGACGTGTAATTGGCTTTAGTCGGTTTCCTTATGGGTTATAACGCTTGATGTATCACTGCTGATGTTAGTAGATTGGGTCTTCCTCTCCATCGACACGCTGGGCGGACTATTTTCTCTCTTTGCATTAGGTAGGGGTTGCTCTATATCCTGGCAATATCTTAACAAAATAGCTGACACACTTCCATTATAGCGGCACAAGGCTCATTCGACATACTAGGGGGGATTATGTATATTTTGGTGGTAGTTCTTGAGACAGGAATATATATTAGCCATATTTCCTGGCGAATCCGCTATCGCAAGTTACGCAAGGAAGCAAAAGATTCAGGGAAAAGCATTGATGATTTGCTTCTACTGAGGAGGAATGATACACAAGAAACAGAGGATATTGAAAAGGGCATTTTTTCTATTGCTCCTGCAGCCAGGCCAGTCCTTTTCCATAGCTAGCGTTTCTACCTTATGCGAAATACCACCATCACATACGGCCAGTGATTCCGTTCCACATAGTTGCTTCTTCCACACTACCGACAAGGTCGACTAGGACTCTCTCACAAGCGTTTACACACATCTCTCATTGCCCCTGCATAAGTCCTTCTGCACGTCACCGGCCAGTCCAATCCTTTATTACAATCATGAGTTTTAGCATCGTTTCCCATGATGCAAGATCGTCCCTTGCACACAAACCAGCGTTCTCACGTAACCACCATCGAAGGATCACCCTGCACTGTTCTCATACTCATAACTCCACAACCATTGGTTTCTCACTTATCTTCTATCAAACAAAGTCTTCAGCATGTCATCCCATCTTCCAGTTTCAAAAAGCTTCCGTTCTCCGAACTCGTTCCTACCTTCACCAGCGCCGCCAACTACAGGCCGTGGCTAACCATCCTCCGTCTAGCTCTCAACTTCATAGGTTCCGAAAACATAGTCTATACAGCTTCTAATACATAATATTATTTACGACGGGTAATGGCAGGGATACTAGTGCGTTGGGTCAAAATCACAGGCGAGTGAAACTGCGAGGCAGACGTTCAAAACAAGACTTACCTTTACCTCGCGACGGCACTTTTCAGTGGCCCGACGTTTCAACGCCGGGCAGACATGGACTTCTTAGAGGTCATGTTCTTGGGATGAAAAGAAAAGAAAAAGACTTTCAAGGTTGAACGGGAAGTTCGAGGGCAGTGGGAGAAGGTCTTTTATAGAATGACATTTTTTACTGGAAAACCGTCCTTGGAACTTCCACTTTGAGATTATAACATTGAGAGTGAAGGTAGAATCTAGGTGATGTTGAAAAATGTAATATTGAAAGAACACCAAAAGAGTCACATAAAAACAAGTTGTTGCCATCACCGCGATCTATATATATCTAGTACATCCACACTCTGTCCTATCCACAGTATCATCTAGCACACAAATACCGCAGTCTCAGACCCCCGAGTCTTCCTGTACAATATTCTGCGACTTGACATATGTATCCCACGCAGCACAATTCTCATTAAACGGAGTATAATCAACGAGATCCCGAATCTCGTCTTGCCGCTCAACGAACTGTAACGCCAGACCCTCGTCAACATGCCATCCGATATGACAGTGCATCAACCACGCGCCGGGGTTATTCGTCTTGAAAGCAATAAGCAGCCACCCATTCCCAGCTAGCACAGCTGTATCTCGACGCGGGGGATTTTCCGTAATAATAGAACCATCCCACTGTGGTGTCCCAGGCCCAGGCTGTCCTTGCGCCAAGATGGAGAAGTCGTGGCCGTGAAGATGGATGGGATGAGTGACGCGGGTGTTTTGAATGAAGAGATATACCCATTTGTCCTTGAAGGGCAACTCAATCACGCCGCTTGAATTAGAGAAGCCCAATTCGTTGTGGTAGACTTGCATAAGGGTCGGGTTTTCCCAGCTCACGTTCATAGAGGTGGAGTTGAACCGCCAGCGGAAGAAATTCTCTGCGTTCCTGGTATTGCTGACTGTTACGTTTTTATCCCAAACTGGTGAAACCGGTGGATCGACGTTTTTTGGGACGTGCGGAACTAGATTCGTCAAAAGTTCGTCTTCACATACGTTTACGTCTGTGAAGGTGTATGACTGCGTGCGCGGTTGTTTGGGCGTGTTGCCATAGTAAACGATGCCTCGAATGTTGTCGGCCATCTCATTCTGTGAGCATTTATCGGCTGGTATAGCTCTCATCCAGAAGGATTCAGCTACGGACTCCTGGTTGGCTGTGATGATAACGTCATATCGTTGACCTACATATAGAATATTAGCTGGATTCGTATGTTTGGAGCAATGGAGACTAAGAAACGAACCCATTCCAAGACTGATCACGTTTGTGGTAAATGGCTTTATAGGAACAAGATCCATTGCAATGACGGTCATTGTGTGGTTATCAATAGTAAACTTCCAATGCGTGTCGATAGAAGGGTTCACGAGTCGCAATCGGTAGGATATGCCTTTTTCCACTTTCATGTGGAAAGGAGACCCGGTAGTATTTGTACCGTTTCCATACACATTCTTGCCATTGATGAGTCCATTCGACAACTTTTTGACAGGGCCACGTAGTTGGACATCTTGGTGCAGTTGGTCCACAGTTTCATGCGTCCAATCACCCAGGAACAACGCACCCTTGTCCACATCATAATTTGCAGTTGCCGGTCCATTGATAATGATAGCACCATATACACCTTCCCAGGCCTGCAGACCAATATGAGAGTGATACCACGAGGATCCATACTGGCCAGCTCGCCATTTATAGGTCATAGTTGAACCGGGAGCAATAGGACACTGGGTGATCGAGGGAACACCATCATTGGGATTTGTGTAGTTCTGACGAATACCGTGCCAGTGTATGCTCGAACCATTCATTGCCTGGTACAGATGGTTGGTG